TGGATAGCAGTTGTCATCATCTAGAAAAGAAAGCCCAAGATAGAACTTGTTGGAGATTTCTGGTCTGCGGGCTGTCCTCCAAGTATGAAATAACAGTGCTAAGACAGATTATAATTCCGATAAAATGAAATACTCCCATACCGTTGTCTGATAAGTCTATCTGTCTAACTCTTCAGTAAATTTATTGGTAAATATTTCCTAAGAACTAATGTATTTTCTATACAACTAATTTTTCATAGCTGTAAGAATGCATTTAATGTGAATCATTTAACATTCAGATAAATAAGTAGCTTTAAGCTAAAAAAACTGCTTATAGACCTTAAATGATCTTTGCAAAAACATTTAACTCGAATAGAATTCCCTATTCTTATTACGAAATACTTGTGATCTCTACCAGACTCTCTGTTGATTGACTGGATAAAAAGTTAAAATTCACAAGATCATTTTAACCTCACCGTTGACTCATTTCTAACAATATTACTAGTTTAACTCGTAATCACTATTCTTACTTCTAACAAACCTATGAGACTGACTTCATCCAACCATTAATTCTATTCAGAACCTTCAATCATTCTCATTGATAAATAATCCACTGATAAAAATATATATTAGGAACGAGCCAGTCAGGATCGAGAACACGACTTTGCAATTTTTTCGCGAATTTCATCAATCATTTACTGTAACGTTCAGCCTTTGGTAGACTTACGTCTAGCCTGAAGGTACCTTTTTTGCTGGGGGATTGTTATGATTAGTGAATGTGATTATCTGGAAAAGAAAAGGACAAGAGAAAAAGCGAGCCGACAACTCAATAAGCATAAAGAATTTACTTACATTTAATAACAAAAGCAATCGACAACAACCAGAAATAACACGAGAGTGAGATTAAGACAATCTGATAATCGGAATAAGAAGTTGACAGTGTGAGGTTTAAAACGTGTTATAGTATAACAAACAGTAGAAATACCCTTGTATACTGCTCAAAACGTTTAAAATAATAGGGAAAATGTTTTTCTAAATGTAAAGTGAGAATTATGGTGTTAGACTTATTAAATACTCAATTTTATCTCTTTAGATTGTATATAACAGGTAAATTGACACTATAACGTCATTAATTCTGAAATAAACCCTAACCTGGTAACACTACATTTTATGAACAAAATAATCAGATAGCAACTTTTGGATTTTTGTACAAAATTCATTTATCCTTATGGTTACAGAACATTTTCACTTGATAGCAGTTGGTAATGAAAATTTTAGTCTTAAATCCTTAATCTTTCCTCTAAATACTCAATCCTAGCTAGGAACAATGTAGAAACTGAAAAATCTATTTGAATGCTTTAAAGAGTTTGAGAATATAGACAAAATGTTTCTGTTAGGACGAGTTCATTTCATTGGGTTTTTTTCAATTACAAGTAGAATAACCTGTAGAATCGAAAAAATAAATAAACCTTTTATAATAACCTCACCTGTAGCTCTTCAGGGTTACTGCTGGTCCCAGGCCAAGGTAAAAGGAGGAGGATTGGCCATGGGTTCAGCTATCCCATCCCACGGAAAACAACCTTGCTAAAAAATGTTAACCAGAATAATTAAATTAAACGATTTAAACTCCACCCTGGGAGTTGAAGGCTCGCCATTCAGAAGAATTATGACACTTCATAGTGAAAGCCGAGATTCTTCGGAAGCCAAAAGGTCTATGACCCCCCCCCCTACTGTTTGTAATATTATTGTTTTCTTTTCCTTAAACAAATCCATCTATAAAAGCTATTTTCTGACTGGCTATAGAAACTAACTGAAAATTCATTGCGGTTGTTTTTAATTTCTTGATTGAAATCATGAACTGATTGATTTTAGACCACCATTTGAAACCTGAAACCACTGGATGGCCGTTTCGTCCCACTGTGGGACTCCTCAGCAATGCGCATCCACGATCCTGCTTCGCGGTACTCAAGCCCAGGACCTTCAGTCTCGCCCGAGAACGCTTAACTTATTGGACCACTGAGCCGGCCGGCATCTAACGGTGTTAATGTTTAACGTCAACCAATCCACGAAACCGTACGATCATCATTCATTGTACTAATGAATAAATGTTTCAATTTTAAATAATTTCTTTTTTCATTCAGAAATAGAACAATCATTCCACCCTATTCTCTCTTCCTCTTTATCTTCAATTATAAACATGTATTGGTGTTTTATTTGTTTTTTAAGAAAGAAAAAAAAAGCAACTAACTACTCATACAGTCATTACCTGATCCTCAATGAAATCGTATTTTGTCATATGAATATTATCATTGCTTTTTAAAAAGAAACCTATCACAATAATACCAGTTGAATGATTTAGAAGAAAAAAAAAGAATTTATGTATACACGTGATAGATAATACTTTGTCCATGGATAATTATACTTTCCATGATTGTATGTATGTATGTATGTGTGTGTGTGTATCTATGCTAAATATGTTTGCGGATATGTTTGCTTGAGTATTATAGTCTTATTTGTGTGA